TTGGTCGTTGTTTTGATGGCGAATATTTCACGCTACTTGCAGTGGCAGGCAGTCGGTCAAAAGGTGCCTTCGATCAGCGTCTGTCATGCATCATTAGCGGGCTCAAAGGCGACCGATCTGGGTCCAATACACATGTGTATATGTATTCTGTCGACAAGCTGCAAAGTCCATAATTAGTCATGTGCGTCGCCTGTCAGTCGGTCGTGCGCCTGCTGACAGATGTCCTGATCTATTCTTATTGCATATAGAACGGCATCGGAACAATAAGAAATGGCAATCTATGGCAGGGGGCCGAAGGTTATTAGTCATTGATATGCGCTTTTGTGCGCCGCACCTTCTACACATGTGTATCTTTCGGTTTGGGCCTGGCTCTTTCTTTATGTGGATTCGATTTCGCAGTTGTTAGTCTATTAACAAAGGTTCTGTCCACATGCGGTAAGGGTTACTTATGGCACATTATCAATGGTTAAGGAGGGAGTGGTTCCTTGGCGCTGTTAAGAGGAGAATGAATTGAAATATGGGAAAATATTTTCAATAATAATCCATTGAAAACAACAGAGTAAATAAATTCTACAGATTTTTAATAACTTTAATAACATATTGTTACTAGTTTGCCAGCAAATTATATATTTTTTTAGTACTGTAAAAATAATCCACCCTTTTCTGTCCGTATATTATTGTTTAAAAGTAAATCAAGAATATAGAAGCATTAACATTTAAGTTTACACAGTCCAATTCTGGGCAATCTAATCGGACTTGATTTTCATTCTTGTTTAAGCATTAACAACACCTAATGTACTTTGAATATTTCTTCGGTTTGAAGTTTATTTTATTTTACATAATTCAGAAATAATTGAGCACATACCCCACAGTTACTAATTCAAATTTAATTTTTATGTTGATTTTTTACAATTTTTACCAATCAAGCTGCACTCCATTTAACCCGACTCTGAACAATGTGCGCTAATAATCGAGCTATTTGAACAATATGCCAGACCACTCATGGCAAGCAATGCCGGCAATTTCCTTTTTTATTTACCCCCACAGTGAACACTCATTAGGCGCATGCCAAACGAGCTGCACTCCATTCACCTGGACACTTTTTCACATATTCCCCGGGATGCCACACTTCGTTAAACTATCTCCGTCTAATGTCCAGTCCAACAATCCTACGATCCAACGGCCAATTAATTACCCTCGAGAAACAAAAAGTCAGTAATTCATTTTGAACTTGACATTCGGTGCGAGGCGAATGCAAATGCAAATCCACATCCACATCCACATTCAAATGTCTGACTTTCGCCTCCAGGTGAGGCAATTAACGGGGGGCCCGAGTCTAAAATCCGAGAGGTGTCGTTTGGCCTCTGAAACTGGTCAACCGGCTGGAGACTTTTCCATGAAGGAAGCTAGAAAAACTATATCGGCCGGCAACATGATTTAATGAGCATTTATGCAAATGATCAGGCCAAATGTGTCCGACATTCTCCTCCTGCTGTTGTAACTTTCTGTGTTATCCTCTGAGCATCCTGTACGTCCTCGTAAATCATTCACAATGTGTGTTTGCATATGTGCCGAGGGTTGTGTGGGCCTTCAGGTCAGTTCGATAGAGAAAAAAATACCCCGGTCCAGCCAAAAACCAAGCCCGAAAACCCACTAACAAAAGAGGGCCACTGGCCGATGACACTTTTGGCTGCAATCAGGCGTAAAAAGATGCTGCCCGAAAGCAATTTTCACTTTTGGTTTTCGGTTTTTGTTTGCGTTTTTCCTTTGCGAATCGCTGGCCAGAATTACAAAATGAAGAGAGGTGAAGACCTGGAGGGTTTGCAGAGGGTCCCATCATCAATATTGCAACAATGCGACACAATTTCGGCATCTGTCTTCGAGGAAATGCAATGGTTTAGACTTGTAGGTACCTAATATGTTAATATGCGGTTAATCAAAAAAAAAATCATTAGTTTTATTGATAACAGTTTCTTGAGTAATAATCTGATAATCTTTGGTTTGAAAAAAATGTATTACTTGTTAAAAAAAGATGACAAATTTAACAAATTTGATCTATAAGTAGTTGATAAACCAGTTAAAATTTTTCTCCATTTTTTAGAACAATTTATAAATGATTTCTTTTACCTTAACGCTTCTGCAATCGTTGAGCATTCCCTAAAAACTCCCAAAACCAATGGATGTAGCAATTGTCTGGTCCGATCCATGGATGAATGGTCAGACACCCAAGCCGCAGTGACAATCCCCAAGCCGCTTCCCTTTGGCTTTGCTTCTGTGACTTGTCTCCCTGTTTATGCGGTTGCCTTTTGGCTGCTTATTGATTTTGGTCAAGTTTTGCCTTCGTGCTGCGGTCGGTCGCCCCGAGCAGTGAAATCAATTGGAAAATGCGCTTAATGATTTTCCAAGATTTGAGCTCTTGCTCTAATGGCTAAACTGTACTTTGGAGTGGGCCATTGGCTAAGTGAGATTGCACAGCAATTCCCGATAATGCCACACCCATTTCCTATTGTCGCAAAGGAATGCAGGGCTATATTTAAAGGGGATAAAGGGCAGATGGGCGCTGCACCCAAGGGTTAACTTCTTGCAGAAGGGGGTTGCACCTTTAAAGCGATACAAAATGTGCAGCCCGATGTCCTCTTTCCGATCCGCTGCTGGCACAATTATGTCAACTTCTTGAACCGATCCTTGAACTTCACGTCTTAGTTGAGAATTCAGGCCGGAAGTGTGCGCCGCTTGCAATTTAAAAACGATCAAGCGTAACTCGGATGCAATGAGCCCAGTAATTATGGGTGCTCATAAAGACGGTTCGCCGCAGGATATTCGAGGGGTGAAGAACCCTTCTGGGGTCGTAAGATCCACTTGGGCTAGTCTCTCACAAGGATCTTCAAGGATACGGGTAGATAGGCATCTCAGCTGTGCAACTGTGCACAAAGCATTGCAATCGGCATTCCCTGGTGCATTACAAAGTTTCATTGCAATACTTTATTACATTTGTAATCCTCTGGAATCGCGAACACCTACTGTGACTTTTATTTTGATTAAATATATATAACAATATAGCAACAACTACCTCTTCGGATGCCTTTAAGATTATTATTGAACAATATACGAAAGGTAGTAATAGCTGTATATAATGTGTCTGCTTAATGTTTCTGCTCTTTTGAATTCACAAGCAATGTTTCGTTTCTTACCTACTTAAGTTACTTTAACTTCCCTCTTTCGCTTTTTTCTGTTCCATTACAACCTCAAGAAAATAACCAAAATTCAATTACAAAATTTTCAATTAATGTGATGGCCCACCCGTTGGCCGGAGCTGTCTCGACATTCTAATGCTCGCATATGGCCCAAAGTCGGCTCCCACACTCGGTTAGGCACACTTGTAGCCAGCCATGGGATGTAGGCCCACTGGAAAAGGGGCCATTTCAATCGACTACATTAACAATATTGCCAGTGACCCCGGCCAAGGAGAGAAAAAGGTCCACAGCCCAAAAGGGTACTAAACATGAAAATTATGCGTGTCCATTCGGGGTTTTTTGGCTCTGTCTAACGCCACTCCATTCGATTTTATGAGCCAAGGTGAAAAAGCTTTTAATGCCAGTCAAGAGAATGAGTTTTTCTGGTTTTAAATTTCCGTTTAGTTTCGTTGTTCTGATAGTTTTCAGGGCGTTTTCATGGCACGCGTCCAGAGAAATGCTTTGCACCTTTTTTCCTCCCGAATCATTTAGAGATGAAAGTTTTAGATTGCCAAATACGATTAATATCACTTAATTAAGGTGAAAATCTAGATGCCTGACAGCTGTCAAATACGCATGAAACGTATCAAATGGCAGCAGAGCAACAAAAAAGTAGTAAAATACAGGAAATCAAATATCATTTTTTGTCCCTATTTTTTGGTGAAGTTTTTTCGGGTGGTTTTTCGTCTTCGCCCAATTGCCCAATGTTGGGATTAGGGATTGTGCCGAAAACATATATTAATAGTCTCCAGTCCCCGAACAATGACAGCAATCAAATCGCATTTGCCGTTATGCCAAAAGCGGATTTTTGATGGCAATCAATCAGAAAAGTGCCCCGAAAAAAACTCGCTTCTCGAATTGTTTTCCCTTGTTTTTGCCAATCGGTTTTTGTGCGATTCCGGGGTGAAATCAAAGCGCATTTAACTTTTGTGGTTGTGCAGATATTCGGGAGGAGAATTTTCGCAATCTGCCAGCATCAGCCCCTAAGCGAAAATATCCAACTGCAATGGGCTGTCAACGAGTGTGCGAGTTGGGTTCTAAACTGAAGTTCGGGTTTCGGGGAGGAGTTGTCTATATGCCAAACTCGTATACTGCAATTTAATCTGCCTTGACAAGTGCTGTCGCCCGCTGTTGACTCTCTGCATTTTGGGGCAGAATTATAAAGGCCAGAGTGTGGAAATGTTTGTCAAGCGGTCTACTAAATTTTGGTTAACACTAACAGAAATATTCAAAGTAATTACATATGTGCCAAATAAGTACAACTATTTGTTTATTTTCTGTTAAATATAATTTAAGATATATTCGCTATTTCAGTGAAGTTCAAGTTGGTTTAAGAAGTCCCAGATTTTATTATAAGGATCTTCTTGAATTCTGATTTCCAGAAACACACTGTATTTTTTCAAGTGCACTGCAGCTGGGCACACAATCATTTAGATAATAGACCCCGTAGCATTCAATGCACCACCGAATCGATAACAATGGACTGGTTAATTGAATTGCCCAAACCAAATGGTATCGGTCTTTTGAATGCGTGGGCTGGCTGACCAAAAACCAAGGTTGTTGTTCAATAATGTCCCGACTTTAATTGTATCTGTTTCATTTGAATTTCGTTTGCGCATTGTCCAGATCTGTTTATGGCTTTCGAAAGTACAAAACAAAGAAGAGAATATGTTTTCTGGATTGTTTTTATGCTCCCGACAAGGTTGACCAGTGTGAAGATAGAAACGTTTGACAGGTTGAAAGTATCAATTAAGATTACCTCACTTTTTACCACTACACGTGTGTGTTTTACGCTACTCACATCTTAAATTTTATTCATTGCTAAAAATACAATTTTCACGCATAAAAATAGTCAAACAACTCTAAACACTAAACAACTTAGCCACTAACAAAGATTTACATATACGTCAAATATCATACATATAGCGAGCGAAAGAAAATACAAGATGGGAAATATAAGATAGAGATATAAATAAACATTAGATACAAGATACATCACTCTAAGACTTGGGCTTTCGACTTCTATTGGGCGTGGTCCTCAAAGAACGCCTTGTACTGGTCACCGGATTAGTGGTTGTTGTAGTACTTGTTTCTGGTGCTGCTGATGATGTTATAGGTGGTTCAGTGGTTGAAGTGGTTGAAGTGGTGGTGGTTCGCCTTGCAATTGGACGCTCCCGATAAACGCACATAAGTTCATCAGCGGCATCGGGACAATCGATTTGCTACAGAAATAGTTAAGAGAAAATGTTGGACATTTTTTTAAAGTTTTTTTATAACTCAAAAGTTGAATATTCAGAATATTCTATTAAATAATCAAAAAAGAGTATAACTAATATATTTACAAATATACTTATAACAAGTCGATGGTAATGGTTTTTTTTTATCAATTTTAATTGATTGGTTTAAATATACCTATATTTAAATTAATTTATTAAATATTCTCACCTTATCGCACAACTGACTGACTGTGATGCACTTTCCACTCACGCAGCGAAGTTCGTGCGGAAGACAACCACCTGGAGCAGTCACCAGTTCCAAGGGCGTAATAATTGTCGTGGGTGGATCAATTGTGGTTGAGGTGGAGCTGCTGCTGGTGGTGCTACTGGCTGTAGTTGTACTTGGGGTGCTAGTTGTACTGCTGGCTCTTACCCTCTGCTGAGCCAACGCAGAGTTGGGAATCGCACTCGCAGTTCTTGCGGCCGGAGTTGTGGGTACTGGAGCACTAAACTTGACTGAAGTGCGATTTGCCCTCTGTGAATATTTGAACTTGGTTTCCGAGTCGCTGGTCATCATAATCTCTTTGCTGTCACGGAAGTTAACTGGGAAAATTATGGGAAATGATAATATATGAAAGTGTTGATAATCGTAGCTTTGAGACATTTATTTTTTCCAGCAAATAAAATAGTAATCTTCAAATTGTAGCTTAAAAGTGCTTAAACTATATATTTAAATTTTTAAAACAACTCTAGATTATTGAATACTTATTTAACGGAATACATCACAATGCAAGGATAATATTTTTTGCGTTAAGTACCCAATAGTTTTCCTGTTAACTCACCAAAACCCTTTGGTCCACCAGTGGGTTCCTCAGCACTTGAATTTACCAGAGGAGCAGGGGCAGCCACTTGATGTATCTGGAATTTGGTCTCCGTGCCGGCATCTTCATCAGTGGTGGCAGTGATATAGGTATACAGCTTATCATTCGTCTCATTTGGGGATAAAAAACTGGCATAGGAAAAGACCCTTGGAAAGGCATTAAGCTCAGCCTCATCAAAAGGAGCCAAGTCCCCCGATCCGTAATCGTCGCAGTCTTCCTCATCACTTCCATCGAAACAATCAAACTTCTGATCGCAGCGCAGACTTTCGGCGATACATTTCTCATTGGAGCGACAGCGAAACTCGTCCTGTTCGCAAACCAAACATTGCTCATCCTCATCTTCGCCACCCGAGCAATCCTTGATCTTATCACACTGCCAGTTTTGGGGAATGCAACTGCCATCGTGGCATTGGAACTCATTTCCGTAGCAATGCTCCCTTCTTCGCGTGGGATCCTCGCATTTGTGACTCTCATGGGAGTCCGGATATAGACTGCAGTCGAAGAGCTCGCTCAGGACATCCGAGTTGGCAATCGCTATGGAACAGGCCTCTTGAATGGCTAAGAAAATAATAATAAATAAATAAAATAGTATAAAACTATTAACTTTAGAACTTTAAATATTAATTATAATTTTGTGGTGAGGTTATTTGATTAGCAAATATTAATTATTGAACTGTTAAATTATGTATTTATCTCTCAAATAATAATAAAAAGATTTTCTACCCATTCTTAAGGTCACACAATTGCCATTTTAAAATGACAACTCAGGAAATAAATCTCCGGTGTTGGTCTTACCCTTGCAGATGCGACGACAGGGCGGCAGCTGTCCGATGTGCGAGGGTCGACACTCGGGTTCCAGGGCGCCGCAAACGAACTCCGCCGCCCTCGCCGAGCAGTTGGACCGGATGAGCCCCTCGTAGGCCGCCATGGAAACCGAATCCCGCGGAGCGGTACCCTCCCGATTGTAGGTCAAATCGTAGTCGAGCACTCCCTGGCACATGGGCAGCATCGTCGACTGGCAGCCGCTGTTCGTCGAGGGGGTGGTGGGGGACATCGCCTGGGTGGGTCGCTCGCTGGGCGCCGAGGGGGGCGGCAGGGTGGGGGAGACCCGGGTCAAAGGATGCTCGTTGCCAGCGGGAGTTGCCTGGGGCTTGGGCAGTAACTGCAAGCGAAGTGGAGGAGGTGATAATTAGGAGACACAATGTTGCCAGATGGCAACTTTAAACTAATTTAAAAGAGTGTGGAAAAAGGAAATGTGGTTAATTTATAAAGCGAAAGTACATATGGTAAATGTCCGTTTTAAAAGGTCTTACATATGATATATGATATTTTTTAAAAGTGTTTATAACAATATAAAACAAGAAAGGAAGCTAGCTTCGGCAAGCCGAAGCTTATATACCCTTGCAGTCATCAAATATGTCGAACAAATCGCATAAAGGCTAGACAACATCGAAGCTTAGACGATTTTTCTATTCATTTTCCATATTTTCGACTATAGATCATATGGGAGCTATATGATATAGTTGTCCGATTTTGATCAAATTTAATTCGTAATTCAAGAGTCGTAAGAAAACTCTATATTCCAAAAATCATGCTTGTCTGATGAAAAACAACGATGTTATAATTTTATTTCCATTATTTCTATATAGATTTTTCGATCTTTCCTATGGCAGCTATAAGATATAGATGGCCGATTTTTATGAAACTTTTTTCTCAATTTTATATCGTTGTTAAAAAATTTGAAATTCAAAAAATCATGCTCGTGGGATAAAAAACAACGATGTTATCAATTTATTTCCATTAATTCTATATATAATTTTTGATCTCTCCTATGGCAACTATATGATAGAGTTATCCGATTTTGTTCAAATTTAATCCGAAATTCAATAACAGTTAGAAAACGCCATCTTGAAGAAATAAAGTTGATCTGATCAAAAACAACAGAGTGAGAATTTTTTATTTCATTCTCTTGTATTGGAGCTATCCGATATAGTCGGCCGATCCGGCCCGTTCCGACTTATATACTGCGTGCAACAACTACACATCTTTTGGGAAAGTTTCAGCACGATAGCTTTAAAACTGAGAGACTAGTTTGCGCGGAAACGGACAGACGGACAGACGGACAGATGGACAGACGGACAGACGGATTTCGATTCTGCTCGTGATGCTGATCAAGAATATATATACTTTATGGGGTCTGAGGTGTCTCCTTCACTGCGTTGCAAACTTCTGACTGAAATTATAATACCCTTTTGCTCTGCAAGGGTATAAAAATGAAAACATTTTAGTTAAGTGTCGTATTTATAAAGAAAAACGATGTTAAGAGTAAATATATAGTATAATATTACGGTACTCGTATTTCCTCGTATTTAAATTGTATGCTGCATTAAGCAATGACTTGTTCTTTATCTCAAAGTTTTAAAAAAAAGTAATTTTTTCTTTAAAGTTTTTAACTCACATCTTTGAGCAACTGCAGCATCCGCTTGTCCTGTTCGATGGGCACTCCGAAGCTGTTCTGGTGTCCGGAGGTGAATCTAATACTGTCCGCTGGCAGCAAGGTGTCATCGTAGTCCCCGTCCCCATCGACCCCATCAACCTCCCCGCTCTCGGGATCCCCTTCCCCGGCAAAAGATATTTCAGGCAATTCCGTGCTCTCATCGCTCCCATCAGCCGCTTTGAGTCGTGTGGTTTCCTGCTGCTCCCTCTCGGTGGTGCTGGTGGTTTCCTCATCCCAAGCCTCGTTGCTGCTTGAACTCGTGGATGTTAAAGTGGCTTCGTAGCGACGCTGGAGGAATTTGGCTCTAGCCACGCTGACATCGTGAAGCCACAAACAGTAGGTTATCAACCCGAAAAAAAGCAAAACACTGGCCACGAAAATAATGGGCCATCGCAGGTATTTCCACCTGCAGGCGCGTCGAGCATACCCCAAAAGCATCCAGGGAGTTGGCTTCTCGCTGGCATCGAACTTTCCATTCAGATAGTAATTAGCCGTCAATGGGTACTTGTACCGTCGAACTTGAAGTTCAGCCAGCGCTTCGGGACTTCCCAGCATTCCGATGTGGTATTTCTGGGTCTCGCTCCAGCACGATTCGCCCGAGGCGCGGGAGTAGTCATTGGGATCCCTCAGAGATCCCTCATTATCGTCATCGATCGTCTGCACCGTAATGTTCAGGCCGTGGGGATATTTGGTGGCCTGACGTCTCAATCCGGTGACTGATGAGGTCTCACTCGCAATTGCTTCCAGCTGCTTCTGTTCGTCCATCATTTCCTGAGCTCACCTTTCGAATGGCCCCTCCAAATGTCAATTGCCAAAAGCTGCAGAGAAAAAATATTTAGATAGGTTGTATAAATATGATTTGAAACAATAAAATTGTTAGGAGTTATTCCAAGCGGTTTAGACAATGATTTTTATTAAAAGTTACCACTTAAAGAACACTCAAATGGCTTTCTTTCTTAATTTAGATGAGCCTATAAAGTAAAGTAATAAATTTATCACAATTAAGTAAGGAGTTGTACATATATACAACTTTTCAGCAGAATGGAATATTTAATAACAAATCTCAAAATTTTCTTTACAACAACATATTTGTATTTATCCCATTTTTTTTTTAAGTGTCTCTTTTGTATTTGCCACCGTTGCATAACCACAGATAATTGCTATTGTTTAACTGATTTCGAAGACTCTTCAGGAGATTAGGGCACTGCTCCTCTCTCCTGGAAACACACAAATTCGAGAAAGGCAATCGAATTGCAGATGAAAATGAAAGTGCCTGTCAATATGCATTTCGGCATTTCCACGGTTTGTGGAAAGTTGTCACCCAACCCGGGAGATTGCCGATCTTCAATCTACTGCTTCAATTAAGCGTCATTAATTCCCCTCAAAGCCAAAAAAAAAGCAAAACCACAAGCATCTCCAGCGAATCAAGAAGCAGCTGCTGCAATTTGGTTTGGTTTTTCCCAAGCCTTTGGCGGCGATAAATAATCTTATAATCGTATATACGGCGGGCAAACGTACGAGAAGCCCCAAAAGTATTGGCCAATAGTTTAGAAAAATTGAAATGCGAATCGCATTGGGCAAGAGATGGCCAGCAAGCCAGCAAGCCAACAAGCCGGCAAGTGGCTGCTTCTGCTGCACTAACCTCACATAAAATTGCAGATACACAAAAGCCAGCTGAAACTTGTTAGCCGGAAAAACGAGGAGCAGGCAAGAAACAACCGAAACAACGGCAATAATAGTTGCAAATAAGCTGGCGAATCTGACTGACACGAAGAATAGATGCCCTGGGAGCGGTTATTATAAATGGAATTGCCAATGCAAAGTCACAAATTGGATACCACAAAATGTCAAATAAAATGGCATCTGAAGTGTAGCAATATTTGTATTTCTTCAGGCAAAATAAATTTTTATTTCTTTTTCTCCTATTTGTTTTGATCTCAAGAAATTATTAGACACGTTATGTGTGTTTTATTGACCACTGAGAAAATTTCTTGAAAACTGAAGCCAACAGAAATTAGTCAAAGTTAAATTATTTTGAAGAGGAAGTCAACAAATGAGAGTACATACAAACAGCTAAATGGCATACAAATCATTTTAGAAGGTCTAGTTAAACGTTTAACAAGGTTATTTCTTAATTGGAAGCCAATCATTAAATAAGACCATTGCTACATATATATAAACGGATATTGAGTGGAAGGTATGTATAAAGACAGCGTTTTTCCTTTGAAAACTGGTGAGTTCACGGTATCCCGACCCAAGTCGCTTTACTTAAGACGTCACTGGGTGTTATGTATTCGTGTTGCTACAACTTTATACCCTTTTCCCCCAAATTGGCATTACGAGTGCGATGATCAAAAGGCGCTTGAGCTTGGCGGCCACAGTTGGCTGAGTGTCGAGTGCTGAAGTGTTTGGTTTTGTACGCTTTTTTCTTCGGTTTTGGTTCAGACAACTCCAGTCGGGATTGCTCCTCTTGCTCCAACTGCTGCCCAACTGGTGCTAGTGACCTTTTCACTTTTGTTTTCGTTGCTGCCTCACTGCCTGCTTACTGCCAAGTTGCAAGTAAGCAAGCAAGTTGCCCGGTTTTCATGTTACCTCAAGTGTTGCGGCTTCTTGTTGGGAAGTCCGTCTTTTAATGGGTATCAAAATGTACAGCTAAAAAAAACAGTAGATCTTAACTATCTGCAAATTATTTTAATTCGGTCTCTTTTAATAAAAATAAATGAAGATAATTTATAAGCCATGTAATTTACCGAAAACCTATTGTGAAACAATAATTTTTTAATGATATAGTAACCACCAGATCCCTTCTCTTTCGTATTTCGATATTTGCAGTTTTCGTAATAACATCTTCTAATCGATCATTTATTGCTACCATTTTTGGTAATATTTTTTCCAGTACACCGACATCTGCTCCGGCGTTCGTTGTTCGATTAATGAGCTGCAGTCCGGCACTCAACTCTCGCCTCTTCAACTCCTCTCAAGTGTGCAAAATCTAACAAAATTTTACTCATTTTTTCGGGCTGGTTATTAAGAGCTTGGCTGGCGGCTTTAAAGATTTGGCTAAGGTCAGTTGAGTGGAGGAAAATGCCGGCCAAGTAAGCAATCGACAGAAAGGTCATAACAGCAATTGCCGGAGTGCTGTGAAGAACCTTGCTTTAGGGTCGAGACTCCGACTTTGATGGGTGTAACCAGCGAGCACGATTACCACCGCCAGTAGGTGAGGTTGGTCTTAAATGTCTGCGGTGAATGTGGACTTAAAAAAACCTGGCAGTTGCAAGCGTACTTAACAACCGATGAGCATGTCAGGTTGTGTGGGAAATGAGGTAATCTACTTACAAAGTGGCCATTTTTGCGGTTAGAAGATGCAAGATCTTCTCTCAATTAAAGCCGCGGTTTCGTTTCCCAGTCACGCACCTATCTAGATCTTTGGCAACCTGTCTAATTAGTAACTGTAACGCCGTTCGATATCTGAGTGACTGAATCTGAGGCCGAAATGCACTTCCAGCCATTGTTCAATCGCCTGTTTGGCCAGCCATTAGAACACCTTTGGGCAATGGCATGCCTCAATGCCCAGCACAGTGCTTGTAGGCCCTCTCTAGTGCAGTCTTCAATCGGACATACATATATGGGTTGCCCAACACAAAATAATTTCGTTTGGTCTGAATGGTTCCGATGTTGGCCAGTTCACGCGTCTAACGAGAACTAAACTGGCTTGTATTGCACATAGAAAAAGCACTAAAAAGTTCCCTTGAAATATTTATCTGCGAAACTAAACAAAAGTAAACAATAAACAAAAACAAACTATACAATTTTTATGATTATGCACACTCATGGTTTTTAATATCTAAATATCTATATAATGTTGATTTTTAATTACCTTAATATATTTTATGCTTCGACCAAAACCAATTTGATTCAATCAATTTAAAAAACATAATTTAATATACGAGTATTAACAAAACTGAATTCTATATAATTATTCTTTTGCTTCATTTTGCTTAACCCTTTAAAAAGAAAAAATATCGAAATGGTTATATTTATTTCTGCTGAACCATATTATTTTTGCATTCAAAAAAATTAATTAATTATGTTTTCATTTTTGATCTATGATTTAATCAAAGCATTCAAGGTAATTTTACAACATTTTCGATTGTATAACTCGCTTTTGCCAAGTGCATGTCCCGCATTCCTGGCCAGGTAAATTGCATTGAAACATTGCAGCATCCACTGGCAAATGCCAGCTTATAAGTTAAGTCATTTTGTGACTCGGACCAGCAGCTAAACAACAAAACAGCAGAGCAACAAAATGCAACTGCAACTGCACAGTTCAAAGTTATTTTGTACAAATAAATTGTTTATGCTTTTCGATTTTATTTTGCCTCGACCGAAGTACGTGCCATGCGATGTTTTTCTGCTTTTCTGTTTTTCTGTGCGAGGTGAGCCGGCGACTCTGACCAGTCCAAGTGCGATTGTAAGTAAGTCGGGCCAGAATCTGAATCTATATACGAAGCTGGGGCCAGCTGGCATCCAAAGCAGTTAGCGGGTGGATTATGGCAGTTAGACACTGCGATTATGGCCTTACATGAGCATACATACAACTTGCTACACTTTGGCCAACTAAACTCTGACTCATATTTGGAGTACAGAAGATCAAGAGGAGCTGGCTTATGACAACAACTGCGATCGGTCGTGTTTGGGTCGAGGTGGACTGGGCTGATTAGATGGCGGTTAATTCTATAGATTCCACCGATTCTGTCCGATTAAGCCATCGATCATTGTTGACATTTTAATAGATCGTGGGTGGATAAAGGCACGTCTGTCGCATTATTGACTTTTGATCCGTGGACACATAAATACTCGTATACACAATCTCGCGTTCTTTCAACTGGCTGCTCATTACCGCATAAGAAACTTTAATTACTTTTGCGTTGTACTTCATTTCTTGGCTCCTTTTGTTATTCGATCGCGAAAACTGATCAGTCATGGTTTTGCGAATTCTCTTTCAGTTTATTTATTACCCCTGATTGATCATGAAGTTTACTGAGTAAAAGTCTGATATAAAAACCGTTTCAAAGCGTGTAATTAGAAACTATTTTGATTAACTGCCCGGTCATAATATTCCTTGGAATTCTTGAAAAGTTTCGATCGTTTCAATTGCTAATAGCTTATACCATTTATTACTGATTTGTTATATTTAAACTTTTTTTTAAATAATTGTTGTTAGAATCACTGAGAAGTGAAGATTTTTATAAAAAGAGCTTTAGCTGCCCATCTTGAAGTGTTTATTATGCAATAGCTTTGCTTAATGATTTGTAATCATTCTATAGTTTATGGACAGTAGAAAATCTCTGCTAAGAAGATCGTAAAAACCTAAAACTTTTCAAAGAAAAGACAGCACAACTGTGATGTCAGAAGAACCACTATGTTAATGTGTTAATTATCAAATAATCTTAGAAAGGTTATTCCACCAACATATAATCTCTCATCTTCTTCAACGATCACTCAACTGGGAGATGATCTCAGAAACCGTCTGCTGCCAGACATAATCGTCTTTCAGCACCATGAAAAAAATCTTAGAAAAACTACCACTTTATCCACTAATAACTCGTTGATATTAACGCACAACTAAAGATCGTCAAGACAGTCCTGTTCTCTTTAACTTAAAGACATGAGCTGCGTTTAAATCTATATACTGAATTTGCATGTCATCGTAGCAATTATTCCATCAATCAGGCCTACAAGAGTTCTCAACATCTGCACAATCATCAAACGCCAGACGGCGAATTCTTGTTTGCACTTTGTCTGCGTTCCACCTGTTTGCTCATTTGAATAAATTTGTAATTAATGCAGCTACCAGAATTTCAGATTTGTGTTTCACACCAGCAAACACACATTTGATGGTGATGATCGTAGCTCACACGAGAACCGCACTTTTGTCACTTTTCCACGCTTTTTGGATTCACTTTGCGGTCGAGATAGTATGTTTTTTTAAATTTTATTGTTGCAGGGCAACCGCGAATGTTTATGGATATGAGAATGTGAGTGCCCGACATTCATGTTATGTTAATCAATGTTGATTGCAACTTTATTTGTTTGCTTCCATTTTTTTTCTTTCCATTAATTAAAAGTGCAAACTTCAAAATTAATTAGAGTGACTTTGGTTTGGGTTGCACATGGCAATTTCAGCTTGTTGCACTATAATTACGAGCGTCTTAATTTGCATAAAAATTTCGTTTGGCAAGCATTTGTCGAGCATTTTTCAGCATGCCAATAATTGTGGGAGGGTTTGTTCCTTTTATTTTTCTTTCGTTGTGATTTTTGCAAGTTTCGAAGTTGGTGTTTTAATTTTAGTGTTGGTTACACAGTTCACTTAATCAATCACAGATAATTTTACGCTCTGTTTTAACCGACCATGTTTCGCCAAAAGAAGAAAAACTCACGCTTTGTACTTGATGTGGATTTTTGAGGATTTATTGAACCCGCTTTTTTAAGCCGCATCCGCGCGATCGGCTGCCAAAAAACCGACTGAAAGACACAACCTCCGCTGAAGAAGCCAAAAAACCAAAGCTTCTCTTTGGGATTCTTCCGAAAGAGTCCAACACGAAGCCCACCTCAGCTCGTTGGCTTTCGGTTTCGATTTGATTTCGCTTTCGAGCTCAAACCTCGGATCGGGTCTACAATCGCCGGCAATTCGAGTTTCTCTCTTAAAGCCAGCTTTGGAAACTCTTAAGGTGCACCTTACCTCTTTTTTTCCTCGATAGCTTGAAGTCATTGGTTCACTGTGTCGCCTGCTATTATTTCTTTTATTTAGTTTTTGGTGGGGAGCCAATGCCTTAATGGCTCTGCAACGTGACGCTTAAGTTATGATGAGATCGTTTTGGCTGACTTTTATGCTGTCTTATGCTGCATGTGTGCGGAATGAAGCGTGCCCAGGGGCTGTAAAGAATGTTTTAATGCTGGAGTTGTGACAAAAAACAAAAAAAAATGTCGTTACTGGTTTTTGGTCTTGCGTAGTTTTTCTGGGTTCGTTTGGGCTGAGGTTTCTGCAATTGGCTTATGGAAATTTCGCACATGTGGGTGACAACTTTAGTTTGGAAGTGGGTTAAGTGGAAGCACCGGATGAATCATGGAATGCCAAAAAGGGGTTGGCTGTTTATCAGTTCCATACGGGTTGCAGTTGAAACCCCCTTTTAATTTAAAGAAAACATTTAATTTAATAAGTTATTAAAAAGTTATTTTAGCTTAAAACTCCCATTAAAATTAGTAAAGCTTAATGTGCAGGTTTTTGTATTTTCACCATTTTATTCTATTTTTTATATATGTATGTAGCAAGATTTTATTTATTATATCAATAGCAATACATTGGTTCATATGTAAAAAACAAAAGTCTTAAGCTTTGCAAGCTCTCTGTTACCTAAATATTTAAAATTCATTCAGCCCATTGCGTCCCTTGCTGAAAAAAAATTAATAAGATTTAATGCAAGTATATAGGACTACTAATTGCTATTTGAACCCAACATTATCCTTGGTTTTAGACCAAGATGGTTTCCGGTGGATGAACTTAATATAAATGTGTATGTTGGATTGAGCTCTCCACCCATCGGAAGAAGTTCGTAGTGACGTATAACTTTACTGATCAGCGTTTTCATCTGGAGGATGGCATACTTTTGGCCAATGCAGTTTTTGGGTCCAGCACTATATGGAATATACGCAATTTTAGGATGGGTGACCTTTTCCTCATTCAACCATCGTTCGGGCTTGAAAGTCAGCGGATCGGGGAAGTACTCCGGATCTCGGAAGACAAAGTATGATACGAGCATAATGTCGGTGTCGCCGGGAATGGTTTTCTCACCAATCTGCAGGTCTTTTGGGATGTGTCTTCCAATTAGCGGAACAGGTGGATGCAATCGCATTGCCTCCTTGATCACGCAGTCGAGATACTTGAGAGAAAGTAGTTGCGATTGGGTCACCGGAGCATTGGGATCCTGGCCCAGCACATCGATCAACTCCTTGTAAATAAGATCCTGCACCTTGGGATACCTTGAAATCACATGTAAAGCATGGGAAACTGCACTGGTAGTGGTATCAGTACCAGCGAATACAAATGTATCCACTTCCTCGCGGATATCCACATCGCTTAGTGGCTTATCATCAATAGTGGCCTGGAGCAGGATGTCTATAAGTGATATCTTCGATTTGTGACCAGTGTCCTCATCTCCCAAAAAAAGGTACACGATTACCACTAGTATATTACCAAAAAAAAAACAGGAATTCACCTACTTATTGGTTGGTAGGTTCCGTCTGCTTTTGACCTCTCCAAAACAGATCTCCGTTCACGAATCACCTGGTCGGTAAACTCTTGCATTGTGCGAATATCATTTTTTAGGCGCCGATAAACACGAGGAGTCGCCAGGGGAAAGAGCCAATCAAAACGTTGCAAAAAACTTGCCATCCGATTCGATTCAATATAAACCACACTGAAAAATGATATTGATATCGGTAGGGTTATTTTTATTTAAATACACGACCCACCTCTTGAGCGCTCTAGTATATGGAAAGTCGGCGTTATGCTGGGCATTTACTTGTACACCCATGGCCGTCTCTAATAAAATGTTAAGATAATCAAAAACTGATTATTGGTTGTCTTGTTCAAAGTTGTATAAATTATTATTGTCTTTTTGCGTATTTTTTTCATGTTTAATTGCTTTTTGTAGGTCAATTTCCTACGACTTAAAGTATAAAATTTAAATAGCAACCCTTAAGTTTTGGATTATTCAAATAATTTTGTGTTTCTTAAGATATAATAAGACCATCACTTTACTAAATAAAATAGTATTAAGAGCTTCATCACCATGTTCCTAATTCCAACATTAATACAAAGGCATACCTGTTATCACATCCAGGGCTTCTTTAGAAAATATATTTGAATACATTCACAGATGTTTTACCATCCGCAACTTCCCTCAGTTTTTCCACCATCACTCCACTGTGTTTGTCCATTATCTCCACAAAGTTTTCGAGGCACTTGAAGTGAAAGGCTGGAGCGATAGCCTTTCTCCGCGTATTCCATTTTCTACCCGTGCTTAAGAGGATTCCATCGCCAAGAAAATGTCTTACAAATCTGTAGAGTTGAGCCTTTTCCAGCAGGGTATTACTGCTAAGAAGAGCCTCAAAGATCTTAATATCCTTGGTGTAAATAGCGCACTCGCCTAACGCCCACAACCGAAAAGAATCGCCATATTTATTAAATTGGTTGCCGAAAAATTGAAGCATATCTAAGGAGGATAGAATTTGAAGTAATTTGGCAATTAAAAAAACCTTCCAAAAATGTCTCGTCTTTAAAATGTATATTAAGCCTAAATGTTACTTTAACTAAGCAGAACGTACTCTCCGGGTTTAAGAACATGAGCTGAAGAACATTCCCAAAAATTGGAATCAAAGGGGGTCCAGAAATCCTGGACTTCTTAAATGTTTTATTTTGACATCGTTTGCGTCTATAATCCCATGCAAGAAGCAGGATCAAACATCCAATGAGCAGCCACATTTTTTTTAGAATCCTTTGTTGTTAATATAAGTAGGTGTCTTGACCTCGCCGCTTTATTTAATAAACTGCGGCATAAACTAAACGGTCGACTGAATATATTCTGTGTTAGCGTAACCACTAACTATCGTACACTTGAATAAATTTTTTTATCGCATAAATAAAATTTAAAAAAAATAAATTTTTAACAATGTTGTAAATAACGTTTAACCCATTGTTTAAACAACTCAATATTTGTATACTTAAGGTCTTAGGGAACATTTTTGTTGTGGTTAAATATATATATATATAAACATTTAAGTTTAGATCTCCAAATGGTGTAACGACATTATTCAATAATTGTTAAAACAATTTTTTCTGTGTACACCTATGTATTACATAAAAAATTTACTAACTGGACTATTTATATGCTAATTTGTATTAATTGTTCTAATGAATTAAATATCAGTGATACATATTTGAATATACTGACAAGATAGTAAAGTGTTAGAATAAATAAAAACAAGAAAGGAAGCTAGCTTTGGCAAGCCGAAGCTTATGTACCCTTGCAGAACAAATATGTCGAACAAAATATATAAAGGCTAAACAACATCGGAGCTATGCTGATCAGGAATATACCTATATACTTTACGGGGTCTGGAGTGTCTCGTTCCGACTCAAATTATTTAATTGCAGAGCAAAGGATATTAATTAACTACCTAATATGAATATACACAACAAAAAGTTCTATATTACATTCGCAATAACCAACATCCTGCTCTGTGAATCTAGTATCAAAGACCCCTTTAAATACCAGGTCTATGCAAATGAAACTGCGTTCGTTAAACGGTTGAGCGCAGGGTTTTGAACCCGCCTCGTAAAAAAGAAGTCCAGTGAAGACCAAAGCGAAAGCCTCGGATTATGTTGACGACCACCGCAAAACGAAAAAGGACTACGATTTAAGGATATGCACCTGGAATGTCCGAACCCTTAATTGGAAAGGTGCCTCTATCCAACTGGCTGATGCCCTCAAAAATTAAAGGCTGACATCCAGGAAATGAGATGGACAGGACAAGGTTGCTCCAAGCGAGCAAACTGCGATATCTACAGCTGCCATGCGGAGAGGCGCGAATTTGGATGCGGATTTGTAGTAAGCCGGAGACTTCGCCACCACGTCTCCAACTTCACCCCAGTGAGTGAACGGCTGGCTGGCTGGCCGAAAATGACGTCAGCCTGGAGATCAAGCGAAGAATCACACTTGCCAATAGGTGCTACTTTGGTCTGAGTTAGCAAATGTACAATAGAGACCTCTCTCGCCGATCAAAATTGAGACTTTACAAGACACTCATCCTACCCGTGCTCTTATAGGGCGCAGAAGCATGGGTAATGTCACTGAAGGATGCAGCAGCGCTTGGAGTGTTCGAGAGAAAAATTCTTCGCAAGATCTTTGGTCCCGTTCGGATTGGGGACGACTTTCGCATTCGGATGAACCACGAGCTGTACGACGACGTAGACATGATCCGGCGCATCACGATACAAAGTCTATGGATAAAGAATCTCAGCTTTATGATATAGTTATCCGATTTTGATAAAATCTAATCCGAAATTTAATGGTAGTTAGAAAACACTATCTGAAAGAAATTAAGTCGACATGATCTAAAATAAAAGCGAGATAGCTTTTTTTCAAGCTCTCGTACGGGAGCTATGTGATATAATAGCCCAATCTATCCCATTCTGACTTATATACCGCGTGCAATAACAACACAACTTTTGGTAAAGTTTCAACTAGATAGCTTTAAAATAGAGAGACTACGTTATATTGAAACAGACAGACGAACAGACGTACAGGCGTGTTTCGATGCAAATCGTGATGCTGATCAAGAATATATATACTTTACGGAGTCTCAGGTTATTCCTTCACTGCGTTGCAAGCTTCTGACTGAAATTATAATGCCCTTTGCAAGGGTATAATATTCCAAAACTATGTTGTATGCTAATTTACAGCAATTGCTCTAATGAATTAAATATCACTGGTGCATATTCAAATTAGCAAACAAGCATTAGCAACAATACATTGTAACAATGTGAATCGTTTTTTATAATAGACTAATTATTTTGAATATACGTAAGTAATATAGTTTTAGTCGTTGTAGTTTTTAGTTGGTAAATTTTACCTGAATTTTTTGGAATACAAGAGGATCGAAATATTAAATGTTGAAAATAAAGCCCCTGTATATTATCTATGTGACAATGCACGCTTGTATATGTAAGAATGTAAACACAGATCGCGAGACCTATATAGTTGTCTCGATCTAACGAAATAGGGATAAGAAAATATGTATACCAAAATGTTTCTCCTTTGCTAAACTTCAGTTCGCAAATAAATTCCGCAGCATACACACGGTGTTCTTTTCCTTCCTTAATTTCTGCCGCTCAATAGGTTATGGGCCCAGGCACTAAAGAAGTAAAATTAAGGTTGTGCGGTGTGTGACTCAGGAAAAAGAACAATGAGTGCTTTTATCAAATTGACAAGTTAGAGGAGACTAACTATGTCACCTGGAAAATACAGATGCGATCTGTATTGGTGCATTCCGGTTTGTGGAGCGTCACTTCTGGAGAGCTTACGGAATCGAATGTTCCAGAAGGACAAAATTGGGTGGCCTTGGATAATAAGGCGTTGGCCACAATTACATTGAGTGTAAAGACTTCTCAATTAAGCCATATCAAGAACTGTCGGACTGCGTTGGAGGCTTGGACGAAATTGAGAGATGTACATCAGCCAAGCGGACCTGTACGAAAAGTACAGTTATACAAGAAACTGCTCAACAAGCGGATGGAGCAGGGGCAAAGTATGGTGACCTACATAAGTGAGTTCGTGGAAATTCTGGATGGTCTAGCTGGAATAGGCATAGAGCTAAACGATGAACTTCGCACTATCGTTTTGCTGTCGAGCCTTCCAGAACAGTTCGAGAATTTCGTGGTGGCTATAGAGACACGAGATCAGTTGCCTTCCTTTGAGGTTCTCACCATAAAGCTGAAAGAAGAGAGTGAGAGAAAAGGAGTAACAGACGAGAATGGCGACAGTACAAAGGCGTTCGTTGCAGCACAGTCCACAGACATGCAGACAAGAAAGGACTTGCAGACGAAACGGAAAAGTATCGTTTGTTTCAAGTGTGGAAAGAAAGGGCACATCAAATCACAGTGTCGAAGTGTGAGTGACGGCAACAATTCCACGTTGGCGAAAAACACGGTGAACCGCCAAAGCAGCTTGCTAAATGCATGTGACGTCAGCAACTTAAAGAACTCAGTGTGGTGCTTAGACAGTGGCGCAACGAGCCATATGTGTTGTGAAAAGGAGCTATTCACAAAACTCGAGAAGCACACAGAACAGATCGGACTGGCCGATGCTGGTTTTCTTCAAGCCGAAGGAAAGGTGACGTCAAGATACAGACAGACCTGTGTATATTGACGCTAAAAAATGTTCTCTATGTTCCAAAGATGAACGGAAATTTCATGTCGGTAAGCAGTGCTGTGCAGAACAGGTGCAAGGTGATCTTCGATATGAAAAACGCCCAGGTAGTGCAAGATGGTGAATGCATTGTGAAAGCTAATAAGATCGGCAACCTGTATTTGTTCGAAGGCGGACGAAGTAAGTGTTTTGCTATGAAAGCAGTGGATGGTGTTTTGCTACACAAGAGATACGGCCATATTAATTTCTCTAGCATGAAAGAGCTGGTATCCAAAGGAATGGTTCTTGGAGTAGAAAATATTTCATTGCCACAAAATATGAACTGCAAGACGTGTATGGTTAGCAAGATCCATGTTCAGCGTTTTCCAACATCGACAAGTAACCGGGCTAAGGAATTATTAGAATTGATACACGCAGATGTTTGTGGACCGTTTCCGACACAATCTTTGGGAGGTTCCAAGTATTTTTTGACCTTCATTGACGACAAATCCAGGAGGATTTTTGTGTATTTTCTGCGTGGGAAGAACGAGGTGCTATCGAAGTTCATTGAGTTCAAGAGCTTGGTGGAACGGCAGACAGGCAAAAACCTCAAATGTCTGCGAAGCGATAACGGAGGAGAATTCGTCAACAAGCAATTCGATCAGTTTCTCAGGCATAACGGCATCGCTAGGCAGCTCACAATAGCGTATACACCCCAGCAAAATGGAGTCGCGGAAAGGGCTAATCGGACACTCGTGGAGATGTCAAGGTGCCTTCTGGTCCAGGCGGGACTTGGAGATGCTTTTTGGGCAGAAGCAGTCAACACTTCGGTCTATCTTCGAAACAGGTCTCCTACCAGCGCATTGGAGAGCATGACGCCCATGGAAGCGTGGACGGGTAAAAAGCCTAGTGTAACTCATCTAAAAGTTTTTGGTTCTCTTGCAGTTGCTCTGGACAAGGGTCCAAAGAAGGGGAGCAAATTTCAACCCAAAGGCAAGGAGTACATCATGGTTGGATACTCGGTAGCAGCCAAAGGTTATCGCTTATACGACGCTGCAGCTCGACAACTAGTGGAGAAACGAGATGTCCTGTTCGACGAAAAACATGACGTGGAACTCAAGGGTGATTCCGTGTCAATCGAACTGGAGGAGTTGGAGGAACCGTGTCAGCAAGATGAGCCCGATAATGCAGAAAATGATTCTGACGCATCCATGCACAACAGCAGCTCTAGTGAGAGCTCAGATCACTACGGAGTGCTGAGGATAAGGACGCAGATGTGAACGTCGAGGAACGCAGAGGACCTGGTCGACCCAAGATTATCCGGACTGGCCAACCTGGTCGCCCTAAGAAGCAATTCAACATCCTGAGCGCTCTGGTTTCGGAAAATGTTTCGATACCCCTGACTTGCGAGGAGGCTTTGAGTTGTACGTATGCGCCCGAGTGGCGCGCAGCTATGGCAAGAGAATATGACTCTCTTGTTGCCAATCAAACTTGGCAGATCGTGGATTTGCCGAAAAATCAGCGAGCAATTGGTTGCAAATGGGTGTTCAACGTAAAGCACAATAAGGACGGCGGC